GCTTTCTGAATCTTCTATAAGTGTGTAGAGTTTGTGAGAGTTTGAGCATCTAAGTGTGAGGATGCATGTGTGAGAGAGACTTTTTCTATCCTAGAGCCTCGTATTTATAGGCTCTCCAAGTCTTGATCTGGTCTTGATTGTGGACTTGATTAGTTGGCAAAAGAATCCAGACTTGATTTGGGTTTGGTTCGTGATTTGACTTCATCAAATAATCTTTGATTTGATCAATAAATCAATCACAATTCATCCTCAATTTGGCATTTTCAGTTGATCTAAATATAAATCAGTTAATTTGTTTGATTTAAATTAAAATTCATTAAAGAATTAATAAAGATAATTCCTTAATTACACTCTGCCAAATGTCGACGCGTGACACCTTTGGTGACTCGTTCAGTTTTGATGAGTTCCTTCAAGTCATCAAAAGTTGTTTGCCCCTCATCCTTGAATTGTGATGGAGCTTCTTTAATGTCTTCTTCGGATACTTCTTCCTTGTCAACGTCTTCGACCGTGACATGGTAGACATCCTATACCACTTCTTCTTCGTCATCCCTTTCGACTCGTTGGTTCGAAGATGGACCAGTATGTGATTGTGCATCATTTCACCTTCAGTTCACCATCTAAACTCAAATATAATGTCAAATGACGTTTCATGCGTGAAGGGATTGCACTACGAATTTCATCGTCTCTGGCTGCTCTTTCCTATAAGGTTATTTTACGACTTCAAGTCTATCCAAGGCTGACCTCCGTGGAGGATAACTAACCACACTTTCATATCAATGACGGCTAGTCAACCTGTTAAGCACATAAGCTTGGTGGGGTCCAACACAAAAGCTCGAGCCTTTGGACCGATCAAGCGATCAAATACCAAAGTTTGTGCAACGGACTTCAACTCTTTATTTTCTTCTATCACTTCCACATTAATGTGTTGGGCATTGGCCTTCTTTTCTTTTTATTTAATTGAGATTTTGACAGGTGTGACGAGTGTGAAGCCAAGACTTGCTTTTGTGGGCTTGACTCCGTAATGATGCCTTTTCAACTTCTTCTGGGCTTCGTTAAGGTCGTGTTTCCTTTCTCTAGTGATACTCGTGCTATTCTTTCCAAGTGTCGAAGACGAGGCAAAGTCATATTTAGCCCTTGGATGAGTTTATAAGCGTTGGGGTCAAATCCTTCCTCGGTTCTTGATTGGAAGAAATTGTGATCCATAATGTTTTGCATTGGTCAGACAAAATTATGTAACTATGGCCTTGAAACACTTGAGTTGTCTAGCTTAGGTACATGTAGGACTGCATCTGCTTTCAAGATCTTTACGTCTTCTTTTTGCAGCTTTCTCAAACTTCCTTGTTTATCTCTTTCTCAGATGAGGATTGCCCATTCCTTCTTCGTGGCATTAGAATTTATCTAAGGATTGGTGCATTTGATCCCATTGAGAATCATCAACTCTTCTCAGACATTGAGTGCTCTGGCTGCCTGTTGCTAGTTTTCTTGAGATGAGACATTGCTTATTCTTCCTACCCAGGCATAGCTTTGCCTGTTGATTGAATCTTCATGGGGATAGCCTCATATACTATTTCCCCATCCATGTAAACCTTGGCATCGATAAAATGTGACTGCTTCGATGAATGACTTACTATAAGCATGTACCTTTGTCGCTCCACTTCTATTGAACTTTAAACATTGGTGCAGGGTCGACGGTACAACTTCATTCTCATGATTCCAAGGTTTCCTTAAGAGGAGATGAAAGATTGATCATGTGAAACAACGTATTCAACTTTAGTTACCCTATTACTATCTTAATCCTGATTATGCCTATTGCCCGCCTTGGTTAAAACCTTAGATTAGAAGGCAACTTCAAGATAGTTCGGCCATTGTGATTCCCTGATTTGTTATCGTCAATTTTGGCAGGATGATGATAAATGAACCTCTGTCAATGAGCATGCAGCCTATGTTTTGTTCTCTTACGTACCCTGAAACGAAGAGTGGACAATTGTGTGGCCTCAACCCCCAATAATAGATATTTATCGGTGAAGTTGATGGCAGCACATATAGCTTAACATATACCGCACTTATGAGATCGAAGCTCTAGATATCCAACCTTGCATGTCTTCAAAGATAAGTGCCGAGATTCATCAAAACTTCCAATAATTCCCTTCGTTCTGCTTCAGGGAGCTACAACACCTCTTCCACACTAAGGTGCAAAGATAAGTCTTCTATTTATGCAGAAATCTCCTCTTGCTTGTTGGTGGAATGCCATTTGAATACATTTTTCTCCCTCGGTCATGTAACGAATGGTTGTGGTTGAGCTTTGTTGAAAGAACTTTTGGAAAAATATTCATCCAAGACTACGAGAGTTCATGGCATCTAAACCTTTGGCTCTTCTATACAAGCTAGTTTTCTTATCCTTGGTGCTGCTCTAGTGCAGGTTTTCTCAGTGTTTCGGTGAGAACTTCCCTATCACCATTCTTTCTTTGGTTGAACAACTTGTAGTTGCGTTTTATGCACCTTCCTCACCTTTGGTGAGGTCCATGTCATTGAGATAAGTTGCTTTGTCCATGGTGCCTTTTTTGCATGCATTGACCACTTTAAGACTTACCTTTGACGACTGCCGCTAGGGCTTGCTTAGCGATATGTAGAAAAGCATATAATCAAAGAACTCGAACACAATGCTTGTAATGTTTACCTTTGCCGCTTCCTTAATGTCTGGCTCAATCCTTTCTTCTTAGGTGAGCTTCAAGGATTAATTCCTTAAGGATAAAGCACTTGTTCACCAAATGACTGACGATGTGATGGTACTTGAAGTACTTCGGGTCATTCACTCTCAATTCATTTCTTCTGGTCGTTTATGCTTAGGCAATTCAATCACCTTTTTGTCGAGCAGATCATCCAGCATGGTGACCGACCAGAGCTGGGAACAAGTATGTCTTTTCCTTCAACTCCTTCAAAGTGCGGTTATGTCTCTGTTGGTCACGAAAAGTTTTACTCTGCTTTACTTTTTTTCTTGTCTCAAGTAGAGATTTTGAAGGAAATTATGTTGACCGACATTGCTTCTTTGGTAGGCATCTTTCAAGATTTGTCTATTTTCTGCCTAAAGAATTTGGCTTTACTATAGTCAACGATTGAGTCTTTCCTTCCATGATTAGCGATGCTTAACTCCATGTCATAGGCACGGGAAGCTAGCTCTTGAAGCTCTTGAACGTCTTGGGCTTGATGCCTTGGACAATGTAGCGTGATCCCCAATGCATAACCTTGTACACACATCTTGATCGCAGGTATCTCTAAAAGCTTGTCCTTACAATTGAGACTTAGTGAGCACCATCAAATGATGTAATCAACAGCTGGCTCTTCATTCCACTGCTTCATATTTGTAAGCTCCATCATGCTAATGAAGAGTGATGTAAAAACAATTCAATCATCTGACCCTAACTATTTATGGTTCGAGCTTTAGGTTTTTGTACCAGTCGAATGCATTGCCCTTCAAGGAACAAACACATGTTTCATGTGGTAGTCACCTTCCATCCCAACGTTGTTGCAAGTTTCATCGAAATGACCAACGAATTGCTTCAAGTTTTTCTTTTCGTCAAACTGCATAGACTTAGGAGGTTGGTAGCATATCAGCATTCACAAGCTATCAATTCGCTTGGTGTATGGTTTGGAATATATTAGTGTATCGCAAGAAGCACCTCCGTATTGTGCTCCGATGATGTTTGCCATCATGTCCTGAAATTGTTGGATGAAAATAGATCCTATAGATGAAGCCTTGTCATCACGTAATGACTCATTCTCGCTCGCTTCCTGGTCATGTTGATTCTTCTTTGGGTCAGGGTCAACTTCTTTATCATGCTGCAACTCCAACTTGTTCATGAGCGTAGCAATCTGCATATCCTTCTCCTCGATGGTCCTTGTCAGTTTTGCAATCGCCTTGTTCATCTGTGCAAGCTACTCTTCACTAGAGGCGATGACGGTAATCATAACTTGCATAGCCAAAGTATAAAGACTCTCAGGCCAGTGTCAAGGGTGTCAGCAAAGTCTCCTAGCAATCATCGTTGCTTGGCAATCCATAGTACGATCTCGTGCTTGAGTCCGCATCTGAAATCATTGACAACAAACGCACACTTGAATTCTTCAACATCGAAGAACCCCGTTCATCGCTTCGGGAAGTCATCTCGTGTGCAAGAGAAGTGAGTGTAAGGTTGTTGATCTGAGAGTTGCAGTGGCTTGATCTCAAACTAAGAATGTCATAAGAATTTAGCTTGTAGTGATGGAGAACTGGCACATCTGGTAGTGTTTGATGATTCTTCACAAGTGTGGCGAAGACTACAGAGAGCTTTCTAAATCTTCTAAATGTGTAGAGTGTTTGGGAATTTGAGAATCTAGGTGCGAGAATGTATGTGTGAGAAAGGTTTTTTTTTTTTTTTTATTCTTTTTTCTTTTTTTTGGCCTTGTAGCCCCTTATTTATAGGCTCTCCAAGTCTTTGATTTGGTGTTGATTTTGAACTTCATTAATTGACGAAAGACCGAGACTTGATCCGGACTTGATTCGTGATTTGACTTCATCAAATAGTCTTTTGATTTAAATCATATAAATCAATCACATTTCATCCTTAATTTGGACATTCTTAATTTGGTATTTTTCCTTTTTTTAAAAAAAATTAATCAATTAATTTGTTTGATTTAAATTAAAACTAATTAAAGAATTAATAAAGATAATTTTGTAATCACACTCCGCCAAAGATCGATGCGTGACACATTTGATGACTCATTTGGTTTTGATGAGTCATTTATCATGTGTACTATTTGTGCCACATATGGCGCAAGTCATGTAATCCCTGACATGTTGAAATCTTAATGTGTTTATGAGTATTTATTTCACCGAAATAATGTCTACACTAGTATTTTACTAACTTTATTCTTCGCAATCGTATCACCAAATACGCAAAACGCAAAAGCCAAAGCAAAGCAGAAGCCAAAATCAAATAGCATATATATTAGCAAGTAAAAGGGCCTCACCCCAGTTTGAGAGACAAGGTATCGGAGCAGTCATCTTCAAGGGAAAGAGAACTGTTGGAGAAGGTGGTGACATTTGTGGCTGATTCAGATGTCACGCTTTCTTCTCCAATATTATCCGGTCCGGTTCACTATCTCCTCCGGGTAACATCACCATCTGCCATATGCGAAAACAACAAAGAAAACAATCAGCCCAGATTTAATTTACTAATTAAGATATCGTTTTTCGTTAAATAAAAAAAATATATTGGAGAAATATACTTCTTGGTGGTAGTTGCTTACCTTCTGGCTTAGCTGGTTGTTAGCTTCTATCAGCTCAGCTCCCTGCATATATAGTCAGTACATGGAAGAGGACAACAAATCAAAAATTCATTGATAATAATTAAATTTAATATATGCTTATTATTTTCTTTTCTGGAAATTCTTGACTATTGTATATATTTGTGATTATTCCATATATAGACACAGACCAGAATCATCTATTTAACTACGAACCTTTTTCTCAAGTGCCATAACATCACTTGTAATCTTTTCTTCCTGAAATGAATGGAAAATTTGGAATTAGATCGATGTTTCTGGATAGACATATATTCCAAAATATGTCTCTAGTAAAATAACCTAATTAAAGTACGAAAAATAATTACATTGAGTCCTTACAACCAAAAAAGAGAAAAGGTCAAGTCTTTATTCAAATTGACCAAAGTCTAAAGTAAAGATATGCACGCAAAAGTAAAGTTCTAAAAAATGCGCTAGTCAGGCTATGTTGGGGGATGGTTAGGCGAGGTTTAGATAGATTTAAGTATATTTATTATATATCGTATAAATAAGTACCTATTTATACTTATAAAAACACATAATTATAAATTGCACAATAAAAAGACATAGATGAAAATATTGTAACATATTGAAAATATAAAGAACAAGCATATAATGAGTATTTATCCAAATATTCAACAACTCCCTCACAATTTATTAAACAAAAAAAAAAATCCAATATGAAATTTATTAATTTTCTATCTAAGTAAGAGTTGCGACCTACGCGGGCTAAGCAGGGGGCTTAGGGGGGACGCCTAAGAATTAATCAGGCAGTGGCCAACCGCTAGCGCCTAGGCGGAGATTTTAAGAATAGTGTGCAAAAGAATAGCCAGATTATAAATTTGTTAACCTTTTGATTAAACACAGTGATTAAAACAGATACTTACGTGCACAATGTGTTGATCTATTTAAAACAGGTGTTCTCACTCATCAGTTGTGAAAATAAATAAATAAATAAATTAAATTTAGAGGAAGAACTCTAGTGTTACTTTTATAGAGTACCAATAACAAATTTCCTATTTAAACAGAATTAAGACATTTGTCTTAAATTCATTGCAACAACCATATTTGAACAAAGACTAATTAAAAAAAAAAGATCTTCTGAATTATTGCATAATAATACACATTAAACCTCGCAATTTGCTCCTCTATCTGAGGGATACCTAGTTTTTAGAAGCCATGACCTGTATTCACTTGTAACAAAATAAATTTGTAGTTAGCACATACCTTAGTTTGAATCACACGGCCAAGGCTTGCTTCCACCAATTTTTCTAACTTCTGGAGTTCATCCAGATCCAAGTCTTCAAGGTCCACACCCTTCATCTGCCTGTTGCATGCCAAACCATTTCAGCACTCTCATCAAACGATCGTACCAGCTTAATTAACCACCATATATCTTACAAGCAAATCAATAAATTATAATTACCTAAGCTTGCAACTCTTATCCTCGAGTTCCTTACTCAGCCTGATATTGTTTTCTTTCTCCAACTAATGAAATGGGAAACATATTTACACCGAACCGTCATTACATAATCTAATCTGTCACATGAAAAGCTTATAAACATCAGGCCCAAAAATAAACAAGAGAAAGGAAAAAATTGGATGTTTCCGGTTTCTTATGGCAAAAGATGTTTCCTTCATACATTTTCTGAATGTCAAAGTGGAGGAAAGAAAGAAAAAAGGGCAAAAGATGGATTACTGAAACATACTAGAGCATGGATTTACAATATGTAGCAATCTCCAGGTCATTACCAGGCAACCATATTTTGGGACGATTGATTCTTCAGCCAATATATATATGAAACTTTTTTCCGTAGAGAAAACCTCAATGATTCGAATTAATACCAACTAATAACACAGCTTAGAACTTGGAAGTCATTACTCAACCCTGCTGCATGCATCTATACAAGTCTAACGCCTATTTATTTTTATTATGTTAAAGCAATGATATCTTTCAGATGTCGTAAAAATACATTCCGAAGCTCCAAGTGCAGATAAAATATGTTACATAATTTACATTCACTTGACACAGTTACTTGTTATACGATTAAAAATGGAAATTAAAGAGCAATTAGGATGGGAAAAAGAAAACCAATTTGAACTCAATTACCTGTAGCTGATGAAGCGTGGGTTGATCCGATTTTTCCCCACCGACATGTGAATTGTACCTTGCAATCACATCCTTGGTGCTTCACAACATAAAAGGATAAATATAATTAGCATGTTTCATTATTATTTATAAAGTTTTAGACACAGAAAACTAAATTCAACAAAAGAAAATAGACAGAAAGATAAATTAATACATGTGACTAAGCATAGATAAAATAACAATAGAAGAAAAAAAAAATGCAACACAATTTCCATATTTTCTGGTTTCCAATAAGCCCAATAAATTAGTACATGCATGCTATATTTGGCTTTGTACGAAATTGTTACTTACTCTGTTTTTTTCTGGTTTTCTTTTTTTTTTTTTTCAAATAACAAAAGTAATTTAAAAACTGATACTGAAATCAACCACTTTGAACATGCATGCAAACACAATAACTTCTAAAATAAAATACGGCAAAAATAACTTGTAAAATAAAATAGCCAAAACATCATGCACAGTGACATGCAGAACTAATTTATCACGCAGAAAACAAAAAAAATCAGAAGAACCAATTGTTGAGAATGAGTCCCACATTAATGGAGGAGAGGGGACCTTGTTTAGGCTTATAAGTAAGTTGGGCTACTTCCCATATAGTCAATTGGTTTAATGGTGGAACCTCAACTTTCTTCATGATATCAAAGCAGGTTGTTCCATGTGTGAAGCCGAACGGCCACACGCGCTCTACGCCACCCCATTGTGTTGTCCACATGTTAGGCTTGAAAATTCACCGTATGTGAGGAGTGTGTTGAGGATGAGTCTCACACTGATGGGAAGAAGAACTTGCATGGACTTATAAGTAAGTTAGGCTACTTCTCATATAGCCGATTGATTTTATAGTGAATCCTCAACTTTCTTCACCAATTAATCCAAATTAGGAGTATCAAGATTAACCAGCCTCAACAACTATCACTTTGGAGATATTTGGTTCTAGTCTGTTGCAAACCAACCAGCCAAAAGGCCCAAAACATTAGCGCACTTTCAGTATAGGAAGGCCTCCCTGGGCAATTGACAACTCAATCCCCTTAAATTAACAGTAACTACCTGCAATGAACCACAACTGCAAAAGTGCATCTCCATTCCTAAATTAAATAGCCCAAACAATTCGTATTAAAATATTAGTATTTTTATTTTATAAAATAATACAAATAACTTTATTGTTAATTTCAAATAATTATAAAAAATTAGTTGAATGTATTCAAAAATATGGAAATGTAGTGTAAAATGAAAGAACATGGTTACGTGTATTGTAATTTTATAAAATATATATATACATATATATATATAATTTTTTATATTTTTAAATAGTTTTTTTACAATTTTCAATCATTTTTATAATTTTTTACTAATTTAAATTATGGCTGACGTCAACCTTACGACACATAGGCATGGCACTGGGCTAGGTGATTATTGCTTGACTTCTCCATCGGGCTCACCTTGGGTCCAATTGCATAAGTGGCTGGAGTGTTTTGGGAAGGCAAGGAGAGGGGATTGGGTTGTCAATGCCCAAGGTAATAAACAACGGTGGAGTTGCTCTTAGAGCAAGTCCAACAAGGCATGGGACGCCTAGGCATTTGGGTTGAATTGCCGTAACCCAAGAAATTCAATTCCACGAGTCCCCAAAGGGGAGGGCAATTAGACTGAGACCTTGTCTTCGTTAGACTGCTTAGAACTGTCCAAAGCACATCCTGAATAAGCTTGGGCATGTTTTTTGCCAACTCGTACAAAAGAGAGGCGAAATAGCTACCGCCCTGCCCCTGAGGCTCCTGAGGCACATTTTTAAAACACTGATTAAAATTAATTATGTTTGTTAAAATGCTATGCTTTTTCCTTGTATTTGAAATAAAGGGTTATTATACAAAATGGTCCCTAAGATTTGCATGAACAATAAAAATGGTCCCTGAGATTGAAAATCGATAGAAATGGTCCCAGAGATTGTCCACTATCCATGATTTTGGTCTTTCCGTTAAAAACTCTTTGGGCAATTTTCAAAGCTTTATAACTCAATCAATTCTTAACCAAATTCGACCTACAATATATCAAAATGAAGATAAGAAAGTGTAGAATACGATTATAGCTATTTGGAAGCCCAATGATTGCCAGAGATGGCTGGAAAATAGCTGAAAAGTGACTGGTCCGTGGAAAACTAGAAAACTTGCCGGAAACTAGGATAAATTTTAAACGTTCATAACTTCTTCAATATTCAACGAAATCGAGTGATTCAAAAACGAAAATCATACTTCTCGACGAGACGAAGAGAATGGTATCTTTTTTACTGCTAAATCGCCGTGGTTTGGCCGAAAAACTTCTCGAAAGTGGCTAACTCGATAATGGTTAGCCACTTTTGAGCCGTTGTCCGACCAAACCACGGCGAGTTAGCCTTTGAAAAAGGTATCATTCTCTTCATCTCGTCAAGAAGTATTATTTTTGATTTTGAATCACTCAATTTCGTTGAGTATTGAAGAAGTTATGAACGTTTAAAGTTTACCCAATTTCCAGCGAGTTTTCCAGTTTTCTGGCGACCAGTCATCTTTCAGGCTATTTTCCGGCCATCTCCTGCAACCATTGGGCTTCCAAATAGGTATAATCTTATTCTACACTTTCCTATCTTCATTTTGATATATTAAGGGTCGAATTTCGTTAAGAAACAATTGAGTTACAAAGCTTTGAAAATTGCCCAAAATCGTTTTTAATGGAATGACCAAAATCATGAATGATGAACAATCTCAAGGACCATTTCTATTGATTTTCAACCTCAATGACCATTTCTATTGATCATGCAAATCTCAGAGACAATTTTGTATAATAACTTGGAAATAAATTATTGGAATTAAACTTTATTTGAGAAATAATGAGGTATAGAGGATAAGGCCAATAAAACATAAAGAAAAAAAAATACAAAATTACGCAAAGTCAATTACTATTTATAGTGGATAATTAAAGTAATTTCATTGCCCTTCCTCGGCCGTTGCCTTCTTAAAATGGGTGGACTAACTCTTATACTAAAAGTTTTTGGAGGCCCTTTTGCTTGGTCTAGATGCCCATATCAAAATGTCACATCGAAATATTATATATGAAATCATGAAAAGGCAAAACCACCGTTGGGGATAGAGGCAGATTGTCTGCCCTCCTGTTTGGGTACCATTCTCATCCCCTCCTATTTTGTGCGGTCACGGTTAAACCACGTCAACATTTTATATTGATTTTTTTATAGAGAGAATAAGACAAAAAAAATAGGAATAAAAAATGTTGAAGTGACTTAACCATGACTGCACAAATAAGAGAGGATGGGAAGGGCACCTAAACAAGAGAGCAAACAATCTGCCTCTGGACTATCAAGTTAAACAAAAAGTTGGCCTAAAAAGACTAAAAGTACCTAACATCAACTTGGACATCATTGCAAATATGCTTTAATTATTATATTTGCTATGGCCACTTTTTGGTGGGTTGCTTAGGCATCTTCAACCGAAGGGTCCAGAGGGTTAGAGAGTCGAAAATAGCCTTAAAATCATCTCTAACCAAGAGTTGGGCCAAAGGGCTCATGGGCCCTACTAGACAAAAAAGGGTCAAAGGGCCAACCGGATGGCCCCGGACCGGGCTAAAAAATTTAAATCTCAACGGCGAGCTGATATTTTTTTTCTTTTTTTTTACTGTTTTTTGTTTTTTTTTTTGGGACCAAAAATTTAAAAAGAATATTTAATTAAGTCTCATAAATGTGATTGGTTCTATGTGAGGATGTTGCTTTTATAAGCATGTTTGATTGCTCAAACCTTACCCACAGCCGATGTGGGACAAATATAATGGGTGCCACATATGCAAGCTTTTGCTTGCTCAATTCTCTCTAGATGTGGGACAAATATAATGGGTGCACCAAATATAAGCTTCCTATTAGATATGGTAAATGTGCATTTAATTTAAGTTGTAGTTTCTAAATTTAAATAATATGGACCTATGACTCTTTGGCCCTCAATTGAAAATAGTTTTTTGTGACAGGGTTAAAACAAGTACTATGGCCCTTTGGCCCTTAGTTGGAGATGATAAGAAATATTGCCTTGCATTATTCATTAAAATATTAATTTCTTGGAGAGCCAGAGGACTAAAACGAGCCTTCTGGCCAGCTTTCGGTTGGAGATGGCCTTGATTACCCATCCTTTTTTTTTTTTTATTCTTTTTTTTTTGTTGGAGGTGAAGTTTACCTATCTTGAATTTGTCAATGAAATGTACACCTTTTTTTTTTAATGAGAATTGTTATTAGCACTCCAAAAATCTCATTCGGCACTCCAAACGTTCTATAATTAGAAAGAAAAATAAACTTATGAGAAGTATAGAAATATTTTTAGAGTTAATAAAAATTCCCTTTTTAAAAATACTTTTGTTTTCTGTATGTCTTAAATCACATGAATTTTTTAAAATTTTGAGATACAATACACTTACCGTGCATACTTTTAATATTTAGTACTCATTATCTACACATATTTTTAATAATACATATAACATTCACATATCCTATACATATACAGAATAATTAATATTAAAAAATAACTAAATTTAAAGATTGAGAAAAATAGCCAAAGTTGTCAAAATACTTTTATGCTCGCAAATTGTTACGAAAAGATTAACGAAGATACACATTTGACATCAAAAGTTAGGAACCTTGAACAATGTTTAAAACCTACACTTATAATGTAATATTTTGTATTTAAATGAAAAAGAATGCAAGCCTCAATCGCTTAGTATTTCTTTTTTTTTTTTTCAAGTGAAGTAAATTTACGCTTATTATTGTTTTTTATCAAGTGTGCTTCTTATTTGGAGTATATAGTAGTTTCATAACTTTTTTATTTTGCTCTAACATAACAAGAGTTACAAGAGTGGATACAAAAATGGTGGAGAGTTGACAAGTAACCAACAACATTTAGGGAGGATTTTAGGCTATAGGTCACAAGTATTAGTCATATAAACGTTCTTATTTATCAAACTAAAAGCTTTAGAAACTTTTTCTTCTTTAAAACTTCATCTTTATGTTTTAGTATGAACAAGTAGTCAAGCATAAAAAACCACTTAAACAATACCCCATGCATGATCAATGTGAGATAAGTTTCAAACAATTGCTTACTTTATCCACAGTTGTCTTTTGGTTGCAGTTCTTACACCAAATAAGGCAAGAAGTTTCATTTCACTAGTCTCGAACTTCATTGTGTGACTCATTAACTTAATACCCCTATAGTTCAAGCAACTTTGTACATCACCCTTATTCTTGTAGATAGGCACTAAAGTGCTATTTCGCCACTTATTTGGCATCTTCTTCGTTTTCAAAATCCTATTGAAAAGGTCTGTGAGTCATGTTATACCTGTCTTTCCCAAAACTTTCCATACTTCAATCAATATATCATCAGGGCCCACTGCTTTTCTATGCTTCATCTTTTTTCAAAGCTACAACCACTTCTTCCTTCTTAATTCGACAGTAAAAGGACTAGTTTCTACATTCTTCTAATTTACTCAACTCCCCCAAAGAAGTAGTATTTTCATGTCCTTCATTGAAAAGACTATGAAAACAACCTCTCCATCTGTCTTTGACCGTGTTTTCTATAGCAAGAACCTTTCCATTCTTATCCTTGATGCACCTCACTTGGTTTAGGTCCCTTGTCTTCTTTTCCCTTACTCTAGCTAGTTTATAGATATCCAACTCTCCTTCTTTGGTATCTAGTTGCTTATACATATCGTCAAAAGCCGCTAGTTTAGCTTCTCTCACAGCTTTGTTCGCCTCCTTCTTCGTTATTCTATACCTTTCACCATTTTCTTCAGTCTATCCTTGTATAAGGTTTTACAACATTCCTTCTTAGCCTTAACCTTTCCCTGTACCTCCTCCTTCCACCACCAAGATTCCTTTTGGTGTGGAGAAAAGCCCTTGGACTCTCCTAATACCCTTTTTGTTACTTTTCGGATACTACTAGTCATGGAATCCCACATTTGGCTAGCTTACCCATCTCTATTCCAAACGTATTGGGTGATTACTTTCTCTTTGAAAATGGCTTGTTTTTCTCCTTTTAGATTCCACCATCTAGTCCTTGGGCACTTCAAGGTCTTGTTCTTTTTCTCTCTTTAGATATGTACATCCATCACCAACAAGCGATGTTGATTAGCCAAGCTCTCTCCCGGTATAACTTTGCAATCCTTACAAGTTATATTTGATAAGTTTTACTAATAATTCTAATCATACTACATACAATCTTTTACTAAATCTCTTCCATAGATCTACTCAATGACTTGGAACTTCATATTAATTAGATTCAAGCAATCATAAGGAGAAATGAAATAATTGTGATATTTAAGATCATTCATATCAAGTAACAATAAGAAGAAATGAAAAAATTGTCTACTAACAATAAAGTTGCCTAGTCACAATGATATGTCATAGTCACTTACCTTATTGATCTCAAACACTTCTTCACAAAGAAGACTAGGCTTCTTACAACCTTTTAGCATAAAAGATCTCCAAGCACATAGAGAACTTCAAGATCACATTGTTGAATACAATTCCTTAAAAAAGAGGCTAATGGGCACCCTAATACCCCTAAAGTTAAACAAGGAACATGCAACGAACAAGCCTCGACAAGAGATCTTAGAGGATGGGGTCGAAGCTTTGTACTCCAGCCAACCTGTGTCATTTCTCATTCGATCGTAGAAAAAGTTAAAATTGACCTTTAATCCACGCAACAGACCACCAGTAGGCATGAAGTCCACAAATGTGGTAAGGGTGCGGATGAGCACCAACAACAATCTGAGGCAAAGAGGAAGCATAAATTGAAAAATCTACAGATGAGGGGTGAAAAAAGAGAAAGAGACAAAATATATGGTGTTAGGGGGTCGGGTTAGAGAAGAAGATGGAGTGGGTGTTGCAAGGATGAAAGAAAGAAGTGGAGGAAGAACAGAAACAAGAGCAAACCACAAAATGGGCATAGCACCCAAATCTGAGACACCAGCTCAAAACAACTGAGACAAAAACTTAGAAAACTAAGACAAGAGCTCATAAGGTTGTAGATCAAAGGGGTTGGGAGGAGCAAAAGCTTTGCTTGTCCCATTACACAACTAATCAACAATGAGAACAATAGTAACTCAGCTCAGGTTTACCAACAGGTGACCCTATCTTAGTCAAGTTAACGTGGTTGATCAGCCTATCACTCCGTATGGCATGGCTATCAACAAAAGGGAATGAGGCTAACTCATCTTGGTTCTTAGGTGGTGATGACCACAGCCTAGTCAAGTTGATTACTTTCGATGATGTCCCCTTTTCCAATCGTTCATCACAGTTAACTAAGGCAATGAGGTCAGCTCGAATTGCCGATGGTGGACCCTTTGGTGGCGTAAAAAGGCCCTTTTATACGTGGGAGTATGTTGGCCCTAATACGTGACGACTCCTTATTGATGTATTCAACTCGGAAAGTTATAGGTAAAGAATGCCAAGTAGTAAAAATAGGAAGATCTAGATGACAAAAAACTTATTCACACTCTAGCAAATAGATGTATCAACTGCTTAGAAGCTAGCTTCAGAAGAATTTTCTTCTAACGCAATAGACAAGTTAATAGACACCACCCTACAATAAGAGCATCTTTTCTCTACACGCTCACTGATTCCCTACAACAAGAACCTCTTTTCTATGCACGCTCACATATTCATATACTAAATCCTATTTAACACAAACTAGGTTAAAGGAGCCACTTTAAAATGGTATTTCTAGTTTTATTAATAAAAATGACATCATCACTTATTATGTGTAGAGACTTTTACTTTTTTAATTAAAACGAAGCACAACTTCATCTAAATTCTTATTCCACAATTACATTTCTACATATTAATCTTTGCAAGTATAGTCAAGTTCGTCCATTATTTCATGCATGCATATGAAAAAACAGGTTATGGCCATAGCTGCACCACTCATTCCCTACTTGACGCATGCATACAGATTCCTTCTGAAAGGATCTTCAAGGCTTCTATATGATGAATTCCCAAAGTTTTCACCATATCACTTTACTCCTAGTAAGAAAAATCCAAAGCATATATAATTGATGTTCGTGGTTTAAGTCTTTCGCAAATTCACCGTATTCATTTACAGGTATTTTAATTTAGGTGGGGAGAATGGACAACTATTGGAACATAACCCAACATCAGGTGTTGAAGTTGGCATAGATACACCGTGTATCCAATTAAAAGACTATATCCTTCTTTTAATAAAGCCCAATAATATTTTAGATATTATTATCTACAACCAATTTGTGATAGGTGACTCTTATATATACAGAGTTCACTAGATAAACTATGAAACTGTAAAATTGTAATAAGATTACATAATTCACTAGACAAGTTACTCTTAAGTTTACAGAGTTCTGCACGGCAGACCCGATTAATTGTTATTAGCATGAAAAGCAAAGCAGTCAGCATCACCAAGTAATTCACATATTGAAAGCACGTAAAACTAATAAATTGTTTCTCAAACTTGGACACCTAATTAGAAGTTGTCAAAATCAAAAGTACACCTCAGTTTCCTGAACTAGAATATTCTAGATAGCATTGCTTTTTCCTCTCCCTCTCTCTCTGTGAAATCTTTTGGTTTCTCTAGCCTTTCTTCTGTACCTCATCTAGCGTATCTTTCCGTGCATCATTACTTGCACGGCTTACACACACACACACACACATATATATATAATAATAAATATATATAATTTTTTGACCCAGATGACTGAATCTCTCTCTCTCTCTCTCACTCTCACACACACACAGAAAAAGAGAGACAAATCAAGTTATATATGTACTTGGTTATATATTTGTTCAAGTTAGGAAATTCGAAAGAACTGATAAGGCGGTGGGGTGTTTTATTGGTACCTGGAGCTTGAGAAATCAAAGAGCTTGCCAGTTTGAGAAAATATTATAACAGCAACTTCAGATTCACACAGAATCGACAGCTCTCCAGCTTTCTTGAAAATCCCCCTTCTCCTCTTTGAGAAGGTCACCTGCCTTGCCGGCAAGTAGTCGATCTTTCTGATCTTGATCTTCATCTTCTCTTTCTTCCTACCCCCTTCAGAAACAATAATTCAAATAAAACAAAATAAACCAATCACTTTAAATTTCCACATATATATATAAATGTTTCACAAACTACAGTATATTTTCTGGGTTTCTGATAATTTTAAGATTATTGACCTCATACCCTAACATATCTCAGATCTAAATAAGTAAAATAAAACACAGATCAACCCACCAACCACAATCAACTGCCAGACAAGCCTAGAGTTTTTAGTATTCACCATTAATAGAAGGAAAAAAAAAAAAAAAAAGAAGGAAAAACATAGATAAACTAAGTACTGGGTTCACCTCTGGTTACCTTCGTTGAGGGGTCTTAGGTCTGAAGTTTAGGTCTGAACTGGAAATTTTCGGAGCAATATTGGAAAGAGGAGAAGACTGAGGAGAGAGAGAGAGTTGGTGCTGCAGGCTGTTCAAGAAAGGAAAGATCGCTAAATGAATTTTCCCATATATGGAAGACCTTGGATAAATCTTTTATTAATATCCGCTGTTTGTTGCTTTTTCTATTTTTAGATATTTTGGATATTTTGTTGGGCAAATAAGGTAAGAAACATGGAACGACAATCAACGGTGATCGATGCGGTTGGTGTGATGAATGCTATCCCACCGTTTATTGTCGGTTTAGCCTATTTCTTTTCACGTGTCCCACTTTTTTGAGAGATGCTAGCATCACTTGCTAGTTGCTAAAGCTGCTTCTTCCTCAGTCGATGCTTGTGCAGTTGACACGTAACAGGTGGCTGATAGAAGGAAAGGAAATGGGGCGGTGGAGGGAATGGAGATATTGTATCGAACCGGAAAATAACTGATCGGTTTGGTTTTTTTTTTTTTTTAATTTACTTTGGTACGGTACAAAACCGAATCGGTTTTCCAGGTATACGGTACGGTGTTTATCCGAGTTCACGTGGAGTCGGCCAGCACCTGATGGATTTGACTTCCACCTGCCCCCCCCCACCCCCCCTCTCTTCAACTACTCGATCTCTCTCAGACTCACTATTCTCGGTCTGTCAAACCCTCTCCAATCTCTCTCAGACTCGATCTCTCGCTGCCGTCCATCTCCTCTCCAATCTCTCTCGATCGTCGTTCCTCCACCATCAACCATCAACCATCAACCTACAACCAGCAACCAGTCACCCATATTTCCAATTTCCCAATCTCTTTCTCAGTCTTTCACTCTCGAATGTCGGACGGACAAACAAAGTGTCCTGTGCGTGTATGTGAGTGTGTGTGTGTGTGTGTGTGTGTGTGTGAAATTGGTTTGTGAGGCATGGGAACTCTGGGTGTATGTATGTATACTGTGGGTGTGTGTGTGTGCGCGCGCGTGAAATTGGTTTCCAATTTCCCAATCTCTTTCTCAGCCTTTCACTCTCGAATGTCGGACGGACAAACAAAGTGTCCTGTGCGTGTATGTGAGTGTGTGTGTGTGTGCGTGTGTGAAATTGGTTTGTGAGGCATGGGAACTCTGGGTGTATGTATGTATACTGTGGGTGTATCTGTGTCTGTGTGCGTGTGTGAAATTGGTTTGTGAGGCATGGGAACTCTGGGTGTATGTATGTATACTGTGGGTGTATCTGTGTCCGTGTGCGTGTGTGAAATTGGTTTGTGAGGCATGGGAACTCTGGGTGTATGTATGTATACTGTGGGCGTGTGTATGTATGTATGTACTGTGTGTTTATGTACTGTGGGTGAGTGTATGTATTCTCCAATCTCTCTAATCATTATCTATGCTACATATTGAGATGAGGAGGATAAAATAGTAATTTTGTATTTTTTGACAAAATAGCAATCATATCCTTTTTTTTTTCTATTTTACCTTCACTTTTGATACATAATATTTACATATAGAGGGTAAAATAGTAATTTTGCATCAAAATATTTACATAAGATAAAAATATGCACTTATTAAGAGAAATTGTCCTACCATCATTTTTTCATACTGGTAAGTGAAATCATGATATTTTTTGGATAGTTTGAGTGAACTGAAACAGTTGCACTTGAGGAGAACGTGAGAGGAGGCGGGCAGTTACGGTTGCAGCTTTAGGAGAATGTGAAAGGAAGTGGACGGTTGTTCACACACACAAAATATGTGCTCTTTGCTAGTTACTCTTAATGAAATAGATGTCAAAAAATGTAGTGAGTTATGGTATTCATTGCAATATGACCAAGTAATCATTGAAGAAATATGCGTATCAGTGTCTGTTATATATGCAAAATATTATGTTATGTTAGTCACTTATATGTATGATCAGTTTATGTGTATATACAATATGTTTATTACTTTGGGATTGTTTGTTGCAGGCATAGTTGCCGGATACGGAGTATGGTTTAAGTTCGCTGTTCGGTTCGGGTACGAGATTTGCTAGTACCTTATAGTATTATTCGTGAGAGAGTAGACATAGTCAGTACGATGTTCAGTTCGCTTTGTTCTAAATTCGTTAAAGAATGTAAATTGAAGAGACTTTGACCATCAAAGAGTTTGACCAGCACAACCCCTAATCTTTGGCTTACTTATGGTTGTTTTTTCTTTTACAAATGCTTGGATTTGTGCATCTCCACCTTCAACGGCAGTGCGCGAATTTGGTTCCAAAAAGATTTTACACGTCTACAACCCGAGAAGGCATGAAATTGGTACTAGGCAAAATCTCCTGTAATAATATATGATAATAGACTCTATAGTTTCTATTCCTATGCAGAAGCACCCAGACTGACTCTAATGCAGAACAACAATTAGACTAACAGTTATTATGAACATGCTCTTGTTTGAGTGACAAATGTTAACTGAATGGGATCTATTTTTGCATATAAAAGCTAGTAAATTCAATCAACAATATAGATGGTGTATCAACGACAATATAAATATAAGTAATCAAAATATCACACAAAGGAAATGCTCAATTCCTAAACCATAAAATGAGTAGCTTGTAGCTCTTGTGCAACTTAAGATTCTTCAAGGAAATCAATGCAAGGTCTTCACAGCAATGGAAGCTCAAGTTTGAGCTTCTTCACTAGTGACACCAATGAAAGAATGAATGAAACTTAAATGATATGCAAATGAAGATTCAATAGCAGCACAAATCTCTCTTAATCGAACATTAACATAATAAGAGAGTTTGGAATAAATCTATACCTAAGGTTCTAAAGATGGGATCAACTTGCTCGAATGTTATATGAGTATGATTTCGGAGATATCCCCAGATAATTTCTCTAAACCATGAAAATGTGTTAAGTGTCTCTGACCTAGGGTCTTATGAAAGCTTCATCAGGACCACACAAAAATTTCAACTCAGAGCGTGGATATTTTGGTGAAAGTCAGTTAGCTGTAGCCATCTCATAGTGATTGCACATGTCAACAGGTGACAGGACATGAATAAAATAATGTGTGGTGATCATTGATGAGTTAATATTATATTATATATTTTATCTTATTCTTAGTATAATTTGGTAATTATTTTGGTTGATTTGATACTTTATTTTATATTTTCAATGTATGACATTCGACTTTCTCTAAAAAAAACGTGATCAAACGGACGAATTTTGGAGTGATTCAAATTGGAGGACGTTCGTGTATCTCTTGGCGTGTTCGTGTCAAAATTTGAGATTTTTCTACCAAGCGGTTATTTTCTGGCTATTTATTAAAGAAGTAGTGCATGTTGCTGGAAAGTGACGTTTTTGGGCTTTAATGCGTTTTTGGAGTCCAAGATGACCTCAAATGGGTTCATGGTCTTCTGGATAAGTGTTTAGAATAGTCCAAGCTTTAAATCCAGCTATTTTGGGCCAGTTTTGGAGCTAATTTGGGTCCAAAACATTGTTGTGCAGATTTTTTGGCGAATTTACCAAGTTAATTTAAGATTATTTTTCCTATTTTATTTCAATGTATTAGGTTTCCTAGTTTTATTCTAAGACATTTTAGGGTTTTATTTTGTAGTAGTATAAATAAGCTTTTTAGCCATTAGGTTAGGAGGAGAACGGAGGCATCAATTTGGAGAACTTAGCTAGGTTTTGACGTTTTGTATTTCAAGGTGTTTTTTATCATTTTTCTATTTCAATAAAATTCCTTTTGTTTTATGGCTGTTTGTAACTAATTTACGTTTGCTAAGGCGATTGCCTTGAGCCTTAACATGAATATGTAGTCTTTATTCAATTGCTTATGATATTATACATGCATACTTTGAATTATTAATCACTGTGTTTAAATTGTCTCTATATCTTAATGCTTAGCTACCATTAGGATGTTTAGATAAGTAATCGAATGCAATTCGGTTAGAATGCCATCGGGAGAATTGAGTATTGCTTCTTGTGATTGATAGTTGTAATTTCACCTAGGGCGAATGCCATGTCTTAGGGGTTACATGGTTTTTCAATCAAAAAGCGTAATGAGTCATGCATGTTTATATTTGATCTAAATACCACAAACAGATTGCATGTTTGATATACGCTCTAGCTTGAATGCCACAAGTAGAATATGCATAAGGAAAACCTAACTTTCAAAGTTGCATGTGTAATTCATAAGTAATTGGCAAAATTACATAAGATTGTTAAGGTGATGGTGGAACCCTAGTGTCCTTTTATCATTATTTTCTAAGATTGTTCCCTTTCAAATTGGTTTCTTTAATTGTTTTTCTTTAATTGTTTTTAATTAAATTCATTTTTAATATTTTAGGTAATAAAATCAACATTTGCAGGTGGTAAAGTCCCTATTAATCACGTGTGATTTTAAACATGCATGAGCACATGCTTGATTAGGCAGAAAAAACACTAGACAAAAATTTTGTCTTCATATTCTTTGTAGCGTCACTTGCATCTTTATGACTTAATCCTAACGTTGAGCTTGGTGTGATAATAGAAGTATAAAGATTACATGCTTGTACAAGGAAAGCCAAACCTATAGTAAGTTATAGACTTAACAAGGTATATACCTAGTAATGGCCTAGGCTGTTTATGATATGCGTATTTTTCCCTTGACCTTGTGTCTTTATCCATATTAATACAAGAAGAATTTCACTTCACCCCAAGTGATACAAGTCATAATATGATAAGAACTTCTCGATCCTATTGAATTCTACTTTAGGTTTATGCATTCACATTCCTAGAATAATTCTATTCGCAACAAGAATGACATGGACCCACTATTTCATGTGCGGCCAAAAAGATGTTGAGGAAAACTGTTGATTTGAGTATTAATTGTAAATATTCTTGGAGTTCTATTTTAGGTAGGATTAGGATTTGTAATCTTGGGGATTTAGTTTCCTTATTTTTATGATTATATTCCTTATAGAATAAGACCTATGTACCTATATATTGTAAACCTAGAAGATGAATAATGTAACAAAGTAATTTTAATGTATTTCTACTTGTTTTAATCTATGAAACATCCTCATAGAAAGAGCGTGGCAACTGCCGCTGATACTACTGCTCCTGTTGTTAGAGCAAGAACAATGTACTTACACCATTTTTCCCTTTACATAATTCTTTATTGGTTCTGTCATTGT